AAAGGCTACTGCGTTACTAATCTTGTGTTTCTTAATGTAGTTCTTAATTGTTCTTGGGGATCATCTAACAAATCACTGATGCATCCACGGAGAAGAAGGTGGGTGAATGGAGGATGAATGTTCAGCAAAAGAATGATCTTGCATGAATAAAACAATCTGTACAAGGTATCTACGAAAAACTGCCGACCTTCACTGGCGAAGAAGTTAGCCGACTACAAAGCAAAATCAATAAACTGAAAGCCAGTAGACGACTATGAACGCATGAAGCATATGCAAAATTTAAATGTTAACCCGAGGGTCTAAAATGCAATCGGCACAAATAAGAAAACCCACAAATGTTAGCCTTAAATGTGAGCTGTTCCTGCTTTTTCATGTTAGCTGCAGACGCAAAGGAAAGGAGATAAAAACTAGAAGATTATTTTTAATAAAATAATATTTTCTATCAAAACTCGCCTTTGGGCAATCCAGTTGCTTGATTTCGACAATAAAATTAGCTAGCAAGCCGAGAAATCGTCTTTGGAACAATACGCAATTGCTATTCATAGAAACGAAACTTTCCCTCTGATTTTCATCCATAAGTTATTTATTTGATGGGACTAAGTTTACCTTAACGTTTAACGACGCTTTTGTTTACTAATACTGTATCTGAAATCCTGTTCATTCAGTCTGGGATGGCAAAGATGCCCCTTGAGTGTTGTATATGATTAAAAAAGGTTACTGACGTGAATAAAGAGCTAGGCATTGGTTAATTATGTGTATGCTATAATTACACATTCTTCACCTTTTTTTAATTGCAGGTGCCCGCGACTGGAATTACGGCCGCTTTTTCTCCTCTGCAGAGAACGGCCACACAGGGCAGTTGCATGCAAATACGAGAAAATATAAATATTTCTACGCGATTGAAAAGTGCCAAAAACAGTTATGTCGAAACTGTCATTGTATCCTACATTCTTATTTGCCTTGTGTTAAACTATGAACGTCAAATCATGAGGTGATTTACAGGATGTAGGCAGAAAAGAGCGAAATTTTAAAATTCACTTAAAATTGACGCATATATATAATGGTGTTATACCGTTCTTCGGAAATAGATACTAGCTAAAAGCCCAGACACATGTTTCGCCGAGGTTTCTGCAGCAACGATGGGTTCGGCTCCTCTATGGTTCTCCTAACGTTCCGTATGCGGTTTCTGACATATGCCTTCCAGATACAAATCAAGGGAATATTTGTGGCAATTATTAAGTGCATGACATGCAAGTAGGCGACCCGGACATGACTTTCTAGGGCCAGACCCGAGAATCCAATAAAAGTTTAAGTCGGAAAAAATTAACTACCATGGAATAACCACAGAACGCTCATTCTACAAACAGGTAGTAGTACAAGTAGAAGTAAAAGCTAGTGTCTATGTCTGAAGTACGGTATAACATCATTATCTTATAGAATTCACACTACTTGTAGTTCTACTTGATTTTATAATGGCATTTTATGGTTATTTCATGGTACTTGATCATCTTCAACTCAAATGTTTATTGGACTCTAGGGTCTGGTCCTAAACGTTAATGTCCCCGTCACCTACTTGCATTTCATACACTTAACAATTTCCACATTTATCCCCTTGAGATATATACATATATATATATAGGTCAAACGCATTTTGTTATACGATTATTCCCAACACAAGTGGACTTATATTACTTGTGCTGGACACCTACCTTATAAAACTCCACAGAATAAAAATAAGATACTCATGGTAAGTTTCGTTAATTACCTGCGTTGCCTGCCACGCCTCAGCTAGGAAGGCTGATGTTATGGACATGAAGGAAACTAAAATCAAACAGTTAGGAAATCCCAAATTACTAGTCTCTTGGTTGTCCTTGGAGTAAAAAATGTCGTTGGCATGGAGGTGAAACCTTGATAACCTTTATCCGAAATCACAAACGAAAAAGTTACCAAAACGACACCTAGAGTGTCAAGTTCATTTGAAGGTGTCAGGGCGCGTTGGTTGTCTAAAAATGCCGATAGGCACATGGGTGTCAGATGTACACCAGAAGCGACTACATCCCCTTTTTAACAGATGCCTATACTAAACGAATCCTTTCGCGGATGCGATACCAAATTATATCATGAGCAAATAAGGCGACCATTTGGTGTCTAGTGGTAGATGACTGTGACTTCGCGAGTCTCACAAATGAAGTGAAACGCAATCGAAAAAGAAATGGCTGTTGCAGCACTGACTGAATCATTAATAACCTCCCGAAGCCTGGCTGGCTGACCTTACATTGCGTGCGTATGATAGAAAAAGAAGACGAGTTAGCCAACTGAAATGTATTAAATTTAACATTATTTTTTACCCTGGATGGTGTCGCAGTCTGGTAATATTGAAGCCAGATTTTAAACAGACACATTTTTAACATAAGTGTGTTGTTCAACTGTCTGGTATCTGCTTAGGACGAAGGAGTGTGAATAAATCCACTCCGTGGTCTCGAATTAGCAAAATTAATTTATGCACAAATATTGTCTTTCTTGTAACCAATGTATTCGTTTGGTAGCAAATTTTGCTTTCGTAAACTATTATAGTTTTTAAACTATTATTGTTTCAACAGCATTACTGGTTGTGTAACGTTTTCACGACCAGGAAATGCGCATCCATAAATTAACGTGTCTGCCCACTTTTTAAAGCTGCTTATAAATTAAACAACTTGGATCACCTCCATAGCAGCATCTTATGAGAACTATATGACTTGTTCCTCACACTGTAGGGAAATATTTTCTTATCCTAAACAGAAAACATACAGCATATATTTTGGAGATTTTGAATTCACGTGTAGCGGCCGGCGGAGTTTAAAATTATTCAATAATTTAGAAACTTTTCTTCAAAACCGAAAGACACAGTTCCTTCATGTATTAAATTTAAAGAAGACGTAATTTTCTACCAAAGGAATAGAAGAAAGACTGCTTTTGTGTATTTTTTCTCTAACGTACGTTTGAATTTATTAGTGTAGTGCAAATCAACGAGACACAGGCAAACTACTTAAGCTACATATACATTTTGCCGGTGGTCAAAGGGAAGCTCGGTCAAAAGCCTACATACTAAGCGGACGGAAATATATTGAGATTCAGTCATATGCTAATCAATATAAACTAATTTATTCGTTCGAATCGAAAGCAAATTTCAAAATTTTGCCTGACATTTCATGAGATAGGCTATTTACTGTGCTCCTTTGTATGGCAGGCGATCACTCTTTTACGTTTAAAATTCATGCGAAATTGCGGGAAGGTTAGTATATTTAAGTTTCCTCCTTTTGATAAAGGCGGAGAATAAATTGGGTTTCCGGCATACCAAAGACGCTATCTGTAGACAAAACAAGTTCAGTCCCTAGTGTTTACAACTTGTAAGCTTCCTGCATTACACCCCGGTTGTCTAAGTAATACTCTGTTGCACGTCACTTTGCACAGGAGGGTTTGTTTTTCCTACGTAGAACGCTAGTTTAACCTCTTAACTGCTTATGAATTTTCTTTTTAAATTACTGATAACCAGAGAAACCTTTTTTAAGTAAACTTTTAATCTTGAAACAATTGAAGTGAAAACGGTGCAAAGACGAACTTCTATCGAGGAAACACTTAACGGTAGTACAATTCAACTATTGCGCCATCAGCTCCACAGTATAAATCTAGATTTTAAGAATTATGGAATTCCTGATAATTTTTCGGCTGCATGTTAAAACTAACGGAGTGTCGGACCATAATATTTTGTTCAACTGTCTAAAAATTATCCATCACAGGAGTGAAATCTAAACGGCTTAAGAAGTGAACAAATGAGATCCGCAAGAAATGAAAAACAAAACAACTTCGCAAATTCAAGAATTGTACCTGCACTTTATTTGCATAACAAAGGAGATTATTTTTGGATATGCTAAGAGGTTTGATCTCAGACCGACTTCTTACGCAAGCTGAGGCTGATATCACTTATCGCGATTTTTTAAAACTGAGATTTGACTGTGGAATATATGCAGTAAAACGTACATCAAACGAAATCCCTTGCACGCATTCATATGAACAATGTGATTAGTTAGTTATGACTATGGGAGGCTGTCTTTTACCGCATATTTAATAAAACACGCTAAATTGTTGGTGCATCTCAGTCTGTAGATGGATTCTTACAAGTGAAAGGCTTCCAGAGTATTTTGACAGTTGAAACTTTAATCGAAAACCTCATTGGTTGCAGAATTCCAGGCGGAAAAAATAAACAAACATTTCATCAAAAGTATGTCGGTATAGGTCGATAGCACCTTGATTAATAAAGTCCATTCCGAGTCTGTCGCATAGATTAAATTTCCACAGTTTAAGCGGTTATTTATTTTTGCACCAGCAAGGCGATATCATTATGGCTGACCTTATAAAGACTGGCACAACTTGACAGTCGATATAAAATTCTGTATAATCACTTGCAATAAAGCAAAATGTAAGAATTGTAATAATATAGAGGAGGCGACTGTTTCTAGAATGAGGGCATCTAAAAGAGCGGCAGATCCTTGACGAGGAAAACTTGACCGTATATCCATTTGTAATGGCTGCATAACATTTTTGGTGTTTTTCCTTTGGATATATTTACAATGAGTTAGTTTTGACAATTATTATGAGTTTTATGAGCTTGTGCCTTTGTCAGTTCCTCGAAGTCAATATAACATGGTTTCACCTTCAAAATGTACTATTTTATTAAAATACGTACTTCCTATCATATAACTAAGACAGGCATGTGATACGCGCTACTGCATCAGGTCTTGGCGATAGGTTGCAGTCATATGTGCCAAACAGATCATTCGGTTGCTCTCGATTTAGCGCAAGACATGACGCAATTAAGCATTTTATTATACTTTCAAATTGGAGCACCTATGTACAAATTCTGGGAGGAGGCAGGGTTTCCTAACTATCCGCTGTTTTGCAAAATGTGTTGTGTACAGCAAAGTGTCTAGCGAAGAGTACCTGGAATCCCGAATATATATTCACACTGTGGTAATGAAACCTGGTTGATCCGGCTCTGCAAATTCAACACGCTTGGTTGTCGAAGTCCCTGTGGCGGCGGTTGACTTGTGATTAGATTTTAGTGAGCCACTGCGGGGAGCGCCGTCACCTAGTCTGTGGCTCGTAGTCCCCAGCGCTGGGGCTAGCCTAATGGTCTGTACGCTGCGGACCGTAGTGCCGCCCAGAGTGGATTCCCGACTCTCTGGGGGTGGTGGCGGTTGTGGTGGTGGGAT